CGAGCAATGCGATACAAGACGACGGATTATCGATCAGCGAATTCTTGTTTTTTCCCGCCAAAACGCCGAGCGGAACGGCGATCGAAATTGCGATCAGCATCGAAACAATTGCCAACGCGATCGTTGAAGGATAACGTTCGAGAATCATATCGAGAACAGGTCTGTCAGTTCTGAATGATTTTCCGAGGTCGCCTTGAAGAAGTCCGAGCCAGTAATCCGCGTAGCGATTATCAATGCCGTTCCATTGAAAACCTTTTTCGGAATTTAAGGTAAAGAAAAAAGCCGGACGATCCAAACCGTGTTTTGCACGAAAACTGTCGAGCTGTTCCTGCGTTGCTGTTTCACCCAAAATGGTCGTAGCAGGATCGCCGGGGACGAATTCGATGAGAAGCGTCACCAAAGAAACGACCGTAAACACGACCAGCAAAGTCAGCAAAAGCTGACGCAGAAAATTGAGAATTGTATATTTCATTAAGTCGGTTGAAAGCAGGGAAATTTTATAACGAAAAACTCTTGCTGACAAATCTTTAAGATTTTATTCCCGAATGAATTGCGGCGATTCCGCCGGTTAAATTTTGAAATTCGACCCCAATAAAACCCGTTTCTTCAAACATATTCGCCAAGCCTTTCTGGTCGGGAAAACGCGAAACCGAATCGGGCAGATATTCATACGCGCCGCGCGAACCGCTGACCGCGCCGCCGATTCGCGGCAAAACTTGCGTAAAGTAAAGATTGAAAATCTGCTTGAATCCCGGCAAGATCGGCGTTGAAAATTCGAGCACCACGAGTTTTCCGTCTTTTTTCAAGATTCGATGAAATTCCTTTAATCCGTCCTGCCAATTTGAAAAATTGCGAAGTCCGAACGCAATCGTTACCGCGTCAAAACTGTTATCGGCAAATGAAAGATTCATTCCGTCGGCTTCGATATATGGAATTTTAGTATCATTTTTCGCATTTTTATCGAAAGCGATTGACAGCATTGGTCGGCAGAAATCCGTTCCGATAACTTTTGCCTCGGCATTGGTTTGGAGTTCGACCGCCAGATCGCCCGTTCCGCAGGCAACGTCCAAAACGACGGCAGATTTATTTGCCAAAATCGTTTCGAGCTTTTTTCTGACCAATCTGCGCCAGCGTTTATCGATATTGACCGACAAAAAATGATTCAGAAAATCGTATTTTCCCGCAATGCCTGAAAACATTTCGCGGACGGCTTTAGCGTGTGCAATTTCGTTTGCGGTTCTTTCGTTTGGCATTAATTGGTTTTAGTTTCAGGAGTTTTTTCCAACACGGAAATTATTACGACCGGATTTTTTGATAACTTTTCGGCGACTTTTTGAACATCTGCCTGAGTCACCGAATCAAAAGTTTTTGATTCATCGGCAACGGAAGTTAATCTGAATGTTTCGACATCAAACCACAGATCGGCTTGATTTCTTGTTTTGTAGTCGTTTAGAAATTCCGTTTTCGCTTTTGCAAATTCTTCACTTGAAATATTTTGCGTAAACAAAAGCGTTGCCGTATTTTTCGGTTTATCGCCATTGCCCGAATCCGCCATCGATGCAGATTTCGAACTGTATCCTAA